TCACCTTTCACCACCTACCTACCGTCTTCACCCGAATAACACGCCCGGTCATCATCGCTGCATCTGTGAGTTTTTTTCCTTTTTTTTTTTCTTTTTTTTTTTTTTAACCTGCATGGTGGAATCAGGTGGATGTTCTTGTGCTGCACAATAATTGCTTTTCACGGAGTTTGTGTTGGGGAAATGATTACAAACAGGACACGGAAAAAAAAGAAAATGCAGAATAAGGATTGTGCATGTCAGCTTTCAGGGGGCAAAAAACAAAAAAAAAAAGAAAAAGGGAAGGGGAAAAAAAGAACGTAGGAGCTGGAGTTTTCGTTTAAATTTGGACAATTATCAATTTCGCTTAAATTTGGACGATTATCAATTTTGCTTAAATTTGGACAATTATCAATTTCGCCGTTTGTGCATGTGTGCATCTCATCCTTGAATGTGCAGGGGCCATGCTAATCTCCAAGTCTTAACGGCTGTGATATTGCAAAGGACGGGATTCAGATTTCTCATAAGTTATACACCTGTTTTTTTTTTTAAAGGGGGTGGGGAGAGGGGGAGAATGTCATAATCTGATAATCTTATGAGCACAAGAAATCGTTAAAAACACAAAACAAAAATCAACAACAACAAGAGAATGAGCGAGCGAGCGAGCGAGAGAGAGAGAGAGAGAGAGAGAGAGAGAGAGAGAGAGAGAGAGAGAGAGAGAGAGAGAGAGATTTCTGTTCACAAATGAGCATGATCAGTAAGAAAACAACAAAAGAAAAGCCTTAGGGAAAAAGAGAGGACCTTTGCACAAGAGCAGGGGCCAAGTACCTCGTACCCAAACTCTCCATCTCTGACCCTAGATTATGAAGATCGATGGCCAGAAATGAAGAATCCAGGCAAGAGGGACCTCGGCCCCAGGTGTGAAAAAGAGAGCTTGAAATTTGAAACCAAACGTGCAAGTTAAACCACCAGTACTTGGGCGACGCCTTAGCGTTAACGCTACGCGATTTCTGCGGCCGGTGGGCCGTCGATAAATCGAATCGACAGCCCGCGCTGCTTCGAGATTTGGGCGGCCGGCGCGGCGCGCAGTGCCTAAGTACTGGTGGTTTAACCGGAGAAGGAGAGTGAAAATGTCGTACAGCTCGTACGGCTACCATTCGAGATCAAAACTGTCATCTTCGAGGGGGGGAGATCCGGTCAAACGTCTGAAGCAGAGTCGGGAGCTACAGAATGCGGTCGAGGATGAAAGACGGAGAACTGTGTTAGACGAGGCAAAGAAGAGGGCCGCAGCACAGCATGTCGATTACGAGACATTTCAGGCGATTGTTTCCGCCGCCCATCTAAAACCAGTGGGGAGAGATGAATTCAACACTGCATATCGATCGAGGAGAGCTGCCCCCCCAGCGTGGTCCTTTGGCCTGTGGGATATCRTCGACGGCACCCCAGCTGGTAAATCCAAGGGGGGGGGTCAAGATGGATCGACTTGTGAATCTAACGGGGGGGGTGAAAATGAACCCCCTGGTGGATCCACCAAGGGGCCTCAAAGTGGATCCACTGCTGAATCCAAGGGGGGTAAATATGGATCGACTAGTAAATCCCAAGGGGGGGGTCAAGATGGATCGACTGGCAATTCCAAGGGGGAGGTTCAAGATCATGGGTCAGCTGTCAAATCCAAGGGTCGAGATGGAGCGACTGCCAGTGGTGAATTCAAAGGGCCCCGGGAACGGCGGGAAGGTCAAGATGGACCGATGGGTGAATGCAAAGGCGGGGGTCAAGCTGGATCGGCTTTTGAGTTCAAGGGTCGAGATGGAGAGACTGATGAATCCAAGTGTGGGGGTCAAGATGGATCCACTGGTTAAGTCCACGGGGTGGGGTGGGCAAGACGAATCGACTGGTAATTCCAATGGGGGGGTCCMAAAYGGATTGGCTGTCRAATCCAAGGGTTGAGATRGAGCGTCTGGTGAATCCAAGGGTCTAGATACTCTATCCGTTCCCTAAGGCCAAAAACAGGACCGAGTTYGTGTGGTTGAAAGTCAAGTCGACGACTCGACGCTCGTTGAACCTGGTGCAAATAACAAGTAGAGGACTTGAGACTTGTTCCGGAGGAGAAGGGAAGGAGTTGTAACCCAGGTCGGAAAAAGAGTATAAAACTACTATATAAATAAAGTAGGAAGAGTAGAATGATCCTCAACTTGAGTGACGTATGABTGGAAGGGTTGAGAATCCCTGATGGTGTTATGTCAGGGTGGGCGGTGAAGGAGTTGGTGACGTCATGATAATAAAGCTCACATCACCTTCTTGTTGATGAATTTTTGTGTTTATCATATTCTGGGTAACCCAGGTCGTCCACAGGATAGACCAGGTGGTTGTGAGCCCAGAGGCTCAGGGACCGTCCCAGGACCAGAACAACGTCCAGGTGGCCTGAGGAAGGAAAGACCACGTGTCACTTCTGCAGAATCTGATGGGAAACCTGTACCAGGTTCTGACAACTCCCCATGTTCAAATGTTTTACCTGGTTCTTGCAATGATGGCATCGTCGCTGAGACACCAGGTCTGCAGGATAAACTGGATGGTGAACCCAGCCAGCTGTCCAGGGCCTGGTTTAGTGCCAGAAAAAAACTTCCACGCCGACGTTGTCCCAAACGACCATTTCGTCAAAATGGACATTTTAAAATGATTTTTTATTTTTTGAACGAAATTGAAACCGAGTTTTTTGGCCGAAAACTCGTCAAAATTTGTTGTTCCTGAGGGTCCAGCGTTTGTAAAACGCTGGACCCCCTGGCTCTACATGGACCTAGCTTGAGACCAGCCAGTTCCGGGTGAACCAGGTCCATAGGATAGACCACGTGGTTCAGCCAGGTCCACAGGACAGACCACGTGGTCCATAGGATCGACTACGTGGTTCAGCCACGTTCCACGCAGACTTTGTCCCGGTTCACCACTTGGGGGAAGGAAGGCAAGGTCAACAGTCCTCAAGTGAAAGAGACGATACTAAACCTGGTTCATAACATGGATCCCAACGCAAAACCAAGGCAAAAGGGACTGGTCCAGAATCTGAACCAAGGAATACTCTGGTCAGGCTCCAAGGAGTTGAAAAGTCCAGCCGCCTCCGGTGCTGAAGCTGGGAATAGGAGGACAGTGGTGCAGGTTCACATGATGGAACAGGTGGTCTGAACCAGTTCCAAAGGATAGACCAGGTCCACAGGATAGACCGCGTAGTGAATCCAAGGGTTGAGGGGCCATGTGAATGCGAGAATGGCGCTTCCATGGAGTTGGGTGGGAGGGAGGCCAAGCTGTGCCACTCCTGCAGGTGAAGATCAAGCTATGGTGAACCAGGTCCTTAGGACGATAGACCCTGTGATGAACCAGGTCCTTAGGACGATAGACCCTGTCATGAACCAGGTCCATAGGATAGACCAAGTGGTGAACCCAAGTGTGAAGGAACTGATGCACTCACTTCCTGGCAATGGAGAATAGTGAGGCCAGCAATCATGCAGCAGCAAGATGAAGACACTGGACCAGAGGTCTCAGCGCAACCAGACAGGGAAACCAGACTTCGTGGTTAATCCAAGGGCTTATGGACTTAAAAAAAAAACACGAAGGCTACAGGCATTGAAACCAAGGCGACCTGTGAGCTTGCTCGATTGATTTTGAGACACTAGTGATGCATTTATATGTCGCAGACTGCGCCACTTCGCCTCAATCGACAGTATTCATTTCATTCGAGTAGGAGTTATTTACTATTATTTATTGTGGTTTCAATTAACACAATTGCGATGTCAACTCATCACATCCTGGAGCTGGAGAAAACGTAACCTTCTCTCCTCTACGGAAACTTAGAGGTAATAAAC